TGTTACCAGGCTGGAGTGCAATGGCTCGAACTTGGCTCACTGCAACCGCTGCCTCCCAGTTTCAAGTGATTCTCCTGCCTCAGCCTCCCGAGTAGCTGGGACTACAGGCCTGTGCCACAACGCCCAGCTTATTTTTGTATTTTTAGTAGAGATGAGGTTTCACCATGTTGGCCAGGATGGTCTCAATCTCTTGACCTTATGATCCCCCTACCTGGGCCTCCCAAAGTGCTGGAAAGGCAGGTGTGAGCCACCACGCCTGGCCTCTTTTTTTTTTTGAGATGGAGTTTCCATCTGTTTCCCAGGCTGGAGTGCAAGGGTGCAATCTTGGCTCACTGCAATCTCCGCCTCCTAGGTTCAAGCAACTCTCCTGTCTCAGCCTCCCAAGTAGCTGGGACTACAGGTGCATGCCACCACGTCCAGTTGTATTTTTAGTCGAGACGGGGTTTCATCATATTTGTCAGGTTGGTCTCGAACTCCTGACTTCAGGTGATCTGCACACCTCACCCTCCCAAAGTGCTGGAATTACAGGCATGTGCCACTGCGCCGGCCCAGTTTTTTCACCTGAACAATGGAATAATAATGGTAGCAATCTCTCTGGGTCGCTGTTAGGAGTAAATGAGATTATGTGTGTTGGGGCCAGGCGTGGTGGCTCATGCCTGTAATCCCAGCACTTTGGGAGGACGAGTCAGGAGTTCGAGACCAGCCTGGCCAACATGGTGAAACTCCTTCTCTACTAAAAATACAAAAAATTAGCTAGGGGTGGTGGTGGGCGCCTGTAATCCCAGTTACTCAGGAGGCTGAAGCAGGAGAATCGCTTGAAGCTGGGAGGCAGAGGTTGCAGTGAGCCGAGATCATGTTACTGTACTCCAGCCTGGGCAACAAGAGTGAAACTCTGTCTCAAAAAAAAAAAAAAAAAAAAAAAGAAATTGTGTGTGTTGGATGCCTAGTAAACCATTGATTGAGAATGTGAGCCAAGCAGAGTGACTCATGCCTGTAATCCCAGCACTTTAGGAGGCTGAGGCGGGCAGATCACCTGAGGTCAGGAGTTCAAGACCAGCATGGCCACCATGGTGAAACCTTGTCTCTACTAAAAATACAAAAAAATGAGCCAGGCATGGTGGTGGGCACCTGTAATTCCACCTACTCAGGAGGCTGAGGCTGGAGAATCGCTTGAACTCAGGAGTTGGAGGCTGCAGTGAGCAGAGATTATCACTCCAGCCTGGGTGATAGAGTGATACTCTGTCTGAAAACAAAACAACAAAAAAAGAATAAGTAAGAAACTCCCCAAAAAACAAAAAACAAAACCCCCAAACAAACAGTAAAGCACTTGGTTCAGTGTCTGCTACGCAGCCAATAAATGTTTCTGGGGGGCCTGACTCAGTGGCTCACATCTGTAATCCTAGCACTTTGGGAGGCTAAGGCAGGCGGATTACGTGAGCTCAAGAATTTGAGATCAGCCTGGGCAACATGGCGAAACCCTGTCTCTCTCAAAGAAAAAAAAAAATTAGCCGGTGGTGGCACATGCCAGTAGTCCCAGCTACTTGGGAGGCTGAGGCAGGAGAATCCCTTGAATCTGGGAGGTTGAGCCTGCAGTGAGCCAAGATCACAGCACTGTACTCCAGCCTGGGTGACAAAGTGAAACCCTGTCTCAAAAAATAAGTAATTTTAAAAAACAATAATAACAAATGCTCTGGGTGGTCATGGAGGCCAGGGGCGTGGACTCACTGATACTTAAGGTCGTCTTAGATCTGGTGGCTTGGATAGGAAGACCAGACACCAGTGCCACCCAGCTGGACCACGGGGCCAGTCCCAGGAGCCAGAACTGAGGTCAGGCTCCAGGGCACCATGAGGGTGCCTGAGGCATCGGAGCCCCCAGCTGAGGGTCTGACTCATCCTATGACCTGCGCTGCTGCACTTTCCTCATTCCAGAAGGTGTGGGCTTTTCTGCATAGCAGCTGCCACGAGTGTCACTCACACAGCGTCTTTGTGCCAGGTCCTGTGTTGGTGTCTATAACTGTGGAAGGGACTGGCTATGCTGGGAATATTTACCGTGACCTGGTGTCAGCATTTAATGTACTGCAGCAAGGCAACATCAGTATTTTGTCCCGGCGTTGTCTCCTTCGTCCCTCGGAGCCTGACAGCACTGGTTACATAGTCATTGGTATCAGCCACACCCTGAGGGCCCTGGGGGTGTGGACATCATGCAGGAAATGAGGGAGCAGACTGCTGGGGGTGTGGGGGCGCCAGGAGTGGGCTGGCATCTTGTGCCTGCTGGCAAGGCTTACTGAGGCTGCTGTGCTCCCAGGTGTCATGTATGGCCTATGCTTCTTCGTCACCCTGTTTGGCAGCTATGTCAGCCGGCTGCGGCGAGTCATCTGTGCCTCCTACTACCCATCCCGGGAGCAGGTGAGGGGTCCAGGGCTGGGAGCTAGTCCCTGCCCCCTCCCCAGGGGGCTTAGCTAGTGGCCATCGGCCTTGGCTTTGGGAGCTGAATTCCTTCAGCAGCTCCAGCCCTCTTTCCTCTAGTTGAACTCCAAAGGAAATGACCTGGACTTCAAGCCTCTGGACCCAAGCTGGGGCAGGGAGAAATGGTGCCTCTGGGGCAGGGCTTCCTAGACAGCATTTAGCTCCAAAGTCTTGTTAAAATCACTGGGATGGCAGTCAGGGAGGGGATGGGGGCGGGGAGTTGGAGAGTGGAGCAGGCGCCATGGCTCACACCTGTAATCCCAGAACCTTGGAAGGCTGAGGCAGGACGACTGCTTGAGGCAAGGAGCTCAAGACCTTTTGGGCATCAAAGTGAGCCACTGGGGCCGGGCGCGGTGGCTCACGCCTGTAATCCCAGCACTTTGGGAGGCCGAGGCAGGTGGATCACGAGGTCAATAGATCGAGACCATCCTGGCCAACATGGTGAAACCCCGTCTCTACTAAAAATACAAAACATTAGCTGGGCATGGTGGTGCACGCCTGTAGTCCCAGCTACTTGGGAGGCTGAGGCAGGAGAATTGCTTGAACCCAGGAGGCGGAGGTTGCGGTGAGCCGAGATCGCGCCATTGCACTCCAGCCTGGGTAACAAGAGCGAAACTCTGGCTCAAAAAATAAATAAATAAAACAAAGTGAGCCTCTGTCTCTATTAAAGATGAAGAAGAAAGAAAAGAAGAGAAAAAGAAAAAAAGAAAAGAAAAAGCCAGGCATGGTGTGTGCCTGTAGTCCCAGCTACTAGGGAAGATCGCTTGAGCCCAGGAGTTCCAGGCTGGAGTGAGCTATGATTGCACCGCTGCACTCCAGCCTAGGCGATGGCATGGGACCCTGTCTCAAAAAAAAAAAAATAATAAAATAACATGGTGGGGAAGTGGGGGGCAGTGTTGGCATGTTGAAGTGTAATTAAAAACTCACCATCCTTTCACTCATTTCGTAATCATTTACTGAGCATCTACTGTATTCTCCCATCTCTACGCTGGTCTCCAAAGATGCCAAGATGAAGCGACACGGTCTGGAGCTCACAGTCTCAAGGCAGGCCGGACAAACTTTTAACGAGACATTATAATGTCTTTATTTATTTATTTTGAGATGGAGTTTTTGCTCTTGTTGCCCGCTGGAGTGCAGTGGTGCACTCTCAGCTCACTGCAACCTCCACCTCCTGGGTTCAAGCGATTCTTCTGCCTCAGCTTCTCGAGTATCTGGGATTACAGGTACCCGACACCACGTCTGGCTAATTTTTGGTATTTTTAGTAGAGACGGGTTTTCACCATGTTGGCCAGGATGGTCTTGAACTCCTGGCCTCAGGTGATCCACCCACGTTGGCCTCACAAAGTGCTGGGATTATAGGCATGAGCCACCGTACCTGGCCGACTTTATAATTTATAATTTAAAAAGCACATTTATTTAGGAATGAATAAAAGTGCTATGGAAATCCAGAGGAGAGAGTGGTAACTCCACCTGGGCAAGCCCAGAAGGCTTCCCAGAGGAAGGGGCATTTGAGCCAAACCTACAGGGATTCATAGGAGTTGGATAGAAGGAAAAGGTAGGGAGTGGAGATGGGTGTAGAGGGCATTCCAGGCAGACAAAACAGCGTCAAGTGGGACCCCATCCCTGATTTCCCCACACTAGGAGAGGATCTCCTACCTGTACAACATACTTCTGAGCCGCCGAACCAATCTATTGGCTGCCCTGCACCGATCAGTGAGGCGGCGGGCAGCTGACCAGGGCCACAGAAGTGCCCTCCTAGTGCTGGCCAGCCGGTGAGACCAGTCTTTCCTATAGGGGTGGGGCAAGAGGGGACAGAAAAAGAGCCAGGAGTCAGAAGGGATCTCTGTCCTCTCTAAGTGTCAAGAGATTTGGTGGAAGAGAATGCCTGTCCCATACCCTTCACGCCGTGAGAGATGGGAATTCTTAGGGGCGAGGAGTGAAGGGAGGAAGGAAGGCAGGGCCGTGGAGAGGCTGCTGCTGAAGTTAGAGGGATGGAGGATGGACTGCAGGAAGTCAAGAAGTCCTCCTGCCATTTGGAGGTTGGTGCTGGAGTGAGGAAGCTGAACCTGGCGGGCTGGCCTGCTTAGTGTCTGTGACCCCTTTTCTCAGGTGTCCCTGGCTACGTCCATTCTTCAGGTGCTTTTGGCTGCCTCAGGCCTACTGCCTGGGCTGTGGGAAGCCCCAGAGTGAGGGAGACATGGAGAACGTTGTGTCCTGCAGTACCCCAGGCTGCCAAGGTGAGAGCCCCTGGGGCGTGTGCCTCTCCCTGCTCAGACTTACCCCGCTGGCATATGACAATCAACTGTGGTCCTTCCTTGATGGAATTCTCTTATGCCTCACCTTTTGTGTCTCTCCCTTCATAACTATGTGAGTTCTTATTTACACAGAGCCCTCAGGTAGCTCATTTTCTCCATGCTTGCCTTTATTCTTCCAGGTATTTATTTTTTTTTTTGAGACAGAGTCTCGCTCTGCCACCCAGGCTGGAGCGCAGTGGCGCGATCTCGGCTCACTGCCAACCTTCGCCTCCCGGAGTGGGGGTTCAAGCGATTCCCCTGCCTCAGCCTAGCCTCCCCCGTAGCTGGGACTATAGGCACCCACCACGACGCCCAGCTTATTTTTGTAATTTAGTGGAGACAGGGTTTCACCATGTTGGCCAGGATGGTCTCAATCTCCTGACCTCATGATCCGCCTGCCTCAGCCTCCCAAAGTGCTGGCATTACCAGTGTGAGCCACCTCGCCTGGCCTCTCTCGGGTATTTATAAATGGGATTTATATGCAAATGGCACTGCAGCAGTTCCCTAGTGTGGACCGCTTGAGAAGGATGGTCTCCAGGGGTGTGACAGGGGAGGCAGGGGCCGGCAACCAGGAAGCACAGAGGCTGGGTGGGTGCTTGGGTTCACCCCCATTCCTCTGGCCTCTGTCAGGTCTGTACTGCCTCACCTGCTTCCGCCTCCTGGACAATACCTGCTCCATATGTGCCTCTCTCCTCTCCTACCAAGGGGACCTGGACTTGGAGCTGTGAGTCTTTCAGTGACATGGGGTGGCGGGAGTCTATGGGGGTGGTGGGAGTAGCCACCCTCTGCCAGGACATCTGTGGGCCACTGAGATGAGAGATTTCTCCAGGGATTCTAGCGATGAGGAGGGCCCTCAGCTATGGCTGGCTGCAGCTCAAAGGAAGGACCCCGAGCAGGCGCGGTTACTGCAGCGACAGCTCCAGGACGTGCTCGGCAGGGGCCTCGCAAAGGAGTCCACTTCTGAGTCCAGGTGAGCAGGAAGCAGGAGTTGGTACCTGGGGTTTGTGAGGCCCAAGGATGTTCTGTTCCATTTACAAAGCCTTCCTGGGTGCCTGGACCTTGCCAGGGCTGGAGACGGACATGAGGGGAGGGGAAGTAACTGTGGTTTGCCAAGTCCCTGCTCTGTGTCAGCACCGTGGCCCTGGAGGAGCTCACCATGCCCTTGGGGAGAGTGACATCAGATAGATAACAGGGTGGATAGCACCCTGATAAAGGAATGAAGAGTACTCTGGGCAGCACAGAGGACAGAACAACCAACGTGGGAAAAGGGGCGTATTAATGAAGGCCTCATAGAAGAGGTGATAAGTGAGCTGGATTTTTGTTTTGTTTTTTGGGACAGGGTCTCACTCTGTCACCCAGGCTGGAATGCAGTGGCGCAATCCCAGTTCACTGAAACCTCGACCTCCTGGGCTCAAGCAATCCTCCCACCTCAGTTTCCTGAGTAGCTGGGACGTCAGGCACACCACCACGCTTGGCTTATTATTATCATTATTATTTGGTAGAGCTGGGAGTCTCACTATGTTGCCCAGGCTGGTCTCAAACTCCTGAGCTCAAACCATCCTCTCGCCTTGGCCTTCCAAAGTGCTGGGATTACGGGATTATAGGAGTGAGCCATGGTGCCTGGCCAGGGGCTGGATTTTGGGGGCAACTTCGTGGTTTGCTGGGCTGAGAAGTAGAGGAAAGCATTTCAAGGGGAGGCCTGTGTGGCTTTGGAGAATGTGAGGCATTCAGAAGGGTAGAGCCCAAGGGATGGGTGTGTCTGGATAGAGACCTCGGAGAATGCTGGGAGATGAGGTTGGAAGTCAAGATGGGAAGAGATGGGCAAGACATTTACTTGTCATTTGAAGAACTTGGGTTGGAAAGTGATGTGCTCATATTTGTCTTTTTCTTCATATATATATATATAAAGATGGGTGTGGTGGCTCACGCCTGTAATCCAAGCACTTTGGAGGCCAAGGCGGGCGGATCACCTGAGGTCGGGAGTTCAAGACCAGCCTGACCAACATGGTGAAACCTTGTCTT